TGTGTGTGTGTGTGTGTGTGTGTGTGTGTGTGTGTGTCTGTGTCTGTGTCTGTGTCTGTGTCTGTGTCTGTGTCTGTGTCTGTGTCTGTGTCTGTGTCTGGGTCTGTGTCTGTGTCTGTGTCTGTGTCTGTGTCTGTGTCTGTGTCTGTGTCTGTGTCTGTGTCTGTGTCTGTGTCTGTGTCTGTGTCTGTGTCTGTGTCTGTGTCTGTGTCTGTGTCTGTGTCTGTGTCTGTGTCTGTGTCTGTGTGTGTGTGTGTGTGTGTGTGTGTGTGTGTGTCTGTGTGTGTGTGTGTGCATGCGACATCCAATGCGATCCAATCAACGCGCTTCCCGTCGCACGTACACGTGGAGAGTCTACACACGAGGCGTGCAAAATGACAAACATCTGGCTGCGTGATGCTCCGACATTGCAAATATCGAGCAAATGGTTACACTTCTTTTCGTGCGCAGATCCCTCTCTATCATTCTCTCTCTCTCTCTCTCATTCTCTCTCTCTCTCTCTCTCTCTCTCTCTCTCTGCTCTGCATAAAACAACGCATAAAAACTTTACCACAAACACATTCTAAAAGATCTTAGACGCTTTCCCTGCGACGGCAAGAGCAAGAGTATCGAGCAGCCCGAAAACGTTTCAAAAGTTTTCACTGTGGAATAAACGGGTTGCGGGTTTAGAAGCATGCAAGATGTTTGTTAGGCATTCAACGTGAAGTTTTGCCGTCAGAGCTGTCAAAAGAACATTCCAATCGCATGTTAGATGACGGAGGTGCTTGGGAGAGTTGACAGCATTGCGTCCTTGCCGATGTCATGTCATTCTTGATCTTGCTCCTGATTCAGGACCTTAAATAAATTTGAACCTGTAATTTGGAGCCACATACCCCATGTGCTTGAATCGGTACTGTGGGCTTCTGCAAGGATGGGGTGGCGGGACCAAAGAAGTCAAATCAGGATCAACCACATCAAGAACATCAAATAGGGATCACAAAAATCAAGACCCTTACAAAGCCCGGGTTCGCAAGGGCCCTAAAGACTGCAAATTGCAGCATATCTACCTATCAGCAAGCTCCAACTCTTGCAGTCTACAAGCTTCAAGTACGTGCGCCAAAATATGGCTTGGGAATTTGCAACAGCGCAGCGTTTGTAAGCATGGTTTGGTTGGCTTGATTTTGCCAGGGCTGGAGGCCGAGGCCAACACGCTCGGCGATCAAAACACACATGGCTCGGTTTTCGCCGCTTGGCATGGCCATAGCGGGGGGAGGGGGTTTTGGGAGGGGCGGGAACCCCCCTTACATTTACAACAGTGTCATTACTACAGCCCGGTTTTACTTTGCCAGGCCATTTCTTGGGTTCGCCAATTTGCTTAGACGAAAAGAGAAACCGGTTTTCTTCCCTTCATCCTGATATTCCCCTGTTCAGGTTAGGGATGCACTGACACTGTTTTAATCGGGGCAGGGGAGGGGGGTGGTTCCGTATTAGAGGCCTGTGACAAAATGCAAAAAGGCTCTACTCTACTGCACCTGGAGCCTGTAAGTTGGCAGAGATGCTTGCCGTATTTGCAGCCTGCGAATAGGCTGAAATGCTGCAAGTTGCCTGCCTTTCTTCCTCCCCTCCCCCCCTTCATGTACTTCCTCCTTTTCTTCCTTCTGGCCTTACTTCTTAGTTACTGATCCCTCCTCGATTTTTGACAAAATTTGATTTTTTTTATGCCTACTTATCCCACAAGATGCGGCCAGGGTCGGTGTCAGCGATGGTTTGCTTGTCCGCGACGCGTGTCACTTTCTTTTCATGAATCTCTTCGTGTCTGTTCCATGCCACGGCTGTTCAACATGGGCCCTTTGTGGATGGGCTCCGCTTGCCGCCGCTTGTCCCGCGTCGACCTCCATGCCCCTGAAGCTGCGTGGCGCGGGTACGTGCTTGCCTCGTGTCCCCGAAGAGTTCGAGTGCGAGCTCGAGTGCGTTCCTGCAACCATTTGGATGAGCGGCGGCGCTGCGCAAGCAGCGCAACGCTGAGGCCAAAACGTCATCCCTGCCACGACTCCCCCGATGGAGCGGGCGGGCAACCTGAATCTGCGGACGAGGAAGTGCCGCCAAGCCCCAAGTCAAAAGAGATCGACGCGTACTTGGGGACGGCGGCGGCAGCAAGCAACGGGGGCGCAGGGCGCAGGTGGCCAAGTCACCTGCGCTCGCAAGCAACCGGCTCGTTGTGACACACCCTGGGGACCACATGAACCCCAAAATTGAAAAAACACTCCCTATACTATTGTAATTCCGAAAAATTTATAAGAACCCATAAGCCCTTTTAGGGTTCATTTGGTCCCCAGCAGCCCCAGCAGCAAGATCGGTGCGCGCCACGCCGTCGTTCAGTCGCACGATTTCGGATCCAGCGAGGTGCGACGTTGGTTCCGCCGTCGGGCGATCGCGGGCAGGCAAGGCTCCCTGCACCCCATATATTCGCGCATCTACAATACTACATACATGGCCCGGCATTTGTACATACTATACATGTATATATATATATATACATATATGTATGTATGTACGTACGTACGTATGTATGTATGTACGTACGTATGTATGTATGTATGTATGTATAAGATATTGTACACTTCTATTATATTAAGTGGACACATGAAACATGAATAAATGAACAATAGATATTATACGTTTGACTCAAGCGGCACCCTGAATCACACATCCCGGCCGGACTCTCTTTTCCTCTGAGCCACCTCCAATTCTGCGAGATCCGGGAAGGTCGGGAAGACTTTTCCAGGCCTGGCTGGGCGATAGTGCGTAGCTGGCACTCTCCTTACCTACAGTTTTATGGGTTCTACCTACTCACTACTCACTACAGAGTATACCACAATGTGTGGACAATGACTGTTGCGCCCTAAACCCTAAGCCCTAAACCCTAAACACCCTAAACCCTAAAGTGTATGCGCTCAGAGTAGCTCACCAGTGCGCACGACTCGAGACTCAAGGTGCACCAAGCCGATACGGAACCCGCAAATAACGCCAAATTCAGGACCATCGCCTGAACCTGCAACAGCCGCTACCTATAGACCCACTTGCAGTGTGTTCAACCCCCTGTAAACCCTAAACCCCAAACCCCAAACCCCAACCCTATACCCTAAACCCTAAACCCTAAACCCTAAACCCTAAACCCTAAACCCTAAACCCTAAACCCTAAACCCTAAACCCTAAACCCTAAACCCTAAACCCTAAACCCTGCACTCAGAACCCCGAAAGCCAAGCACAGCTATCATCGGTCCCCAGAAGCTGCCCAACATGTCAGGTGGTCGGGATGACAGGATTCAGCAAGTGAGCGTCCTGCATGGCAGTTTAGGGTTTAGGGTTTAGGGTTTAGGGTTGAGGGTTGAGGGTTTAGGGTTTAGAGTTTAGGGTTTCTGGGCTAGGCTGCCAGTGGGCCAGTGGGCACTTAAGGCTTTGAGAGGTAGGCTGAGGGTAAGTAAGTTCCCTCAACCTCAGAAACCCCACACATGAACTCTATCATGAACACCTCTAAACTCTAATCCCGTTAAGACCTAAACGTGTCTCCCGGTGGTCGTTTTGACCAAATCCATTTGCTCTTTCTCTTGTGTTGTTTTTTGTTTTCTCTCTCTCTCTCTCTCCCTCTCTCTCTCTCTCTCTCTGTCTCTCCAGTACACAAACAAACAAACCCTCTACAACTTCCAGCCAAGCTCTGCCATCATTTCGTTAAAGCCGTTAAGCTATCAAAGTGGCAGGATCAAGCAAGCAGTTCAGAAATCATTCCAACGATGCTGACTGGCCTCCCGAAACCCTACACCCTAAAAGCCCAAAACCCTAAACCCTAACTTTGCCAACGCAGGCCTGCAGTCTCAAAAGCCTCTTCCACGTCTACAGTACTCTTGGCCAAAGTTTTTTGACACTAGGATCCCCAGTAACCTAGGAATAATATGGGCTACCTTGTGGGATTAGGTAGTTTTTAAAAGGAAACCCTAAACCCTAACCCTGAACACCCAAACCCTAAACCCTAAACCCCAAACAGGGAAAAAATGGCCCACTGGGAGACCTCGAAAAGGACTAGAAAAGAGTGCGGAGAGTCCTCCGGATGCCAGATGCTCCAGCGCTTTCGACCTCACAAGCGCAGCTACCCGTGGTGAAGCATTTCTGCTCAGAATTGTTAGGGTTTAGGGTCTAGAGTCTAGGGTTCACGGTGTAGGGCTTCGAGTTTAGGGTGTGCCCTAGACAACATACAGGCGCGCTGTACAGCGAAAGCCTGCCAAGCGCTTTCCAGAACGCCTAAACCCGCAAATGCATAAACCCAGCATCAGGATGCTATCGTTCTGAGATACTGCAACTGTGCAGATCATGGAGGTTCAGCACGAGAACCTGTTGTCGTAAACGGTACCCGGTGAATTCTGATGTTGGCTCCGCACAGATGTTTTTAGGCATCGTAGTCATAGACCACACATAAGCCCTCAACCCTAAACCCTAAACCCTAAACCCGAAATCCTACTCCCACTTGAAACGATGGAATCAAGTGAATCAAACGCTCCCGCCCTTGGCCCTGACGCCTACTGTGCCACACTGCGACTCTTCGAGGTTACCAAGGGTTTAGGGTTTAGGGTTTAGGGTTTAGGGTTTAGGGTTTAGGGTTTAGGGTTTAGGGTTTAGGGTTTAGGAAAACCTAAAAAATAGCAAGCCTTTTTGTCTCTGGATGAGGGAATTCGGGCCCTAGATTATGCCCTTTCAGGGATGACATAGGATACCTCATTCCCTCAACCTCAGCCTTGCCTTTTTCTTTTTTGGCAGACTTCTGAACCCCTCCTCGAAGTTTAACTTTTAGGCTCCTTTTTGTAGTTTCTACAAAAACCCAAGAGGTGAAAGTCCTAAGAGCCAGCCAGAAGAAAGCCCTAAGCCCTAAGCCCTAAGCCCTAAGCCCTAAACCCTAAGCCCTAAGCCCTAAACCCTGAACCCTGAACCCTGAACCCTGAAGCCTGAAGCCCAGTCTTTTTTGGCCCTCCTCAGGCGTCTGAATCACTGTCGAACACCTTTCGATCTCCTGCCGCCTCGACAATGGCACCGCTCACCTCCAGGGTTTCGGGTTTAGGGTTTAGGGTTTAGGGTTTAGGGTTTAGGGTTTAGGGTCGGACACCATACCCCCCAAAGAAGCAACTACAGTTCGAGGTCTGGAAAAATCAACAGGGTGCCCAGTGAAAATGGAATATAGGGGCAGTCGTGTAGGGGCTTGCTCTGGGGTTTTCGGTTGAGGCGTCCGGAAGTCAGGCCTTGCAATGCTGGACGAAGGGCGAGCTCAAAAGTCCCGCGTTAATGGCTCTTTTTGAAGTCACGTTGCCCGAGCTTCGAATAAACTTCCGCCTCTACTTGTAGGGCTCAGGGCTTAGGGTTCCAACAATGGAAAGGCCTCCCCTATGAGAAATACAGGGAATAAAACCATTGCGAGCTTCAGATTTCGGGGAGACGAGGAGGAGGCGGGAGACTACCAGAAAGATGAAACAAGCGCAGGAGTGAATGGGTTTTGGGGGTCCTAGGGTTTCGGGCGCCGGGTTCGAAATCTAGTGGTAAGTCTGCGGGCTTCAGCATGATGCTGGCATCCTTTTGCCATGACCTGCGTTTGTCTAAGCCGGCGATGCAGAAAACCTTTCTCCTGAAAGCCATAACCCTAAACTCCGCTAACTTTCAGCTTAGGTATAGAGGAACTACCCCCTTGTCGGTTAGGTATAGCCCAGAAAATCTGCAGGCGGATGGAATCCGAAGAAAACCCTAAACCCTAAACCCTAAGCCCTAAACCCTAAAACCCTAAACCCTAAACCCTAAACCCGAAAACCCTAAGCCCATACGCTGCCTTGGCAGCTTTCTTGGCGTTCCAAGAGGGATGCAAGTCGGCCGCATCGGTGGCCGCAGGGCTCGCGCCTGTGTGCGCCAGGTGTTCGTAACCCGGCTTGCGCTTCAGGGCTTTAGGCTTTAGGGTTTAGGGTTTAGGGTTTAGGGTTTAGGGTGCTTCAGGGCTTTAGGGTGCTCATCTGCCCGGCCCGGCACCTACAAGTAGCCGTATGCTCAAGCTCCCTTAGAGGTAGCTTTGCTCGCAAGAAGAGGGACCCTCAAACCTGAATCCCCTGCAGCAACCATCCTTTGAGTTCAAGAGTGGAAGGATGAGTGATTAGGCCGAAAACCCCGTGATCAAACACTACACAAAGGCCTTTTCCTTGGGGACCAAATGAACCCTAAACCCTGAACCCTAAACCCTAAACCCTAAACCCTAAATTTGAAAACATACACCCTAGCATGTGAACCCTAAACCCTTAGGGTTCATCTGGTCCTTATAAGGTTCAGGGTTGTAGGTGTAGCCCCTAAACCCTAAACCCTAAACCTTAAACCCATAAACCCAGAAACCCATAAACCCTAATCCCTAAACATCCTGGTACCCCGGGCCTTCCCGGCCTTTGGACCTCTTTGTCTTTGCCGCCTTCGGGGCCTTTGAGGGCTGCTCCTCCTTCTGCGCCTTGTGCGTGAAAGGAGTCTCGGATAGGGCTTAGGCTTAGGCTTTAGGGTTTAGGGTTTAGGGTTTAGGGTTTAGGGTTTAGGGTTTAGGGTTTAGGGTTTAGGGTTTAGGGTTTAGGGTTTAGGGTTTAGGGTTTAGGGTTTAGGGTTTAGGGTTTAGGGTTTTGGGGTTTAGGGTTTAGGGTTTAGGGTTTAGGGCTACCTGGGGCTCTTTGAACCTTCAGTTTGATGGGTTATACCTACTACTGGGGTAGCTACTACCAAACTGTACGTAAGTAGAGTCCCAGGTCTTACTTCTCCAAAAACCAACGAGACAAAAAAACACACTTACGCTTTTGCTTACATACTTTGTGAGCATATCCAAGAATGTAAGGCGGAAGGGGGGGGGGTGTGGTGGTGGTGGTTGAGGTCCTTGCAAGCCGGAGCCACTTTAGCCCAAACAGCCCCCAACCAGCCCAACCAGCAATCTCCCCCAAGCGCCCAGCTTCAACGCTTAGGGTTTAGGGTTTAGGGTTTAGATTTTTAGGGTTGCTTGGAGGTCCATGGTACTTAGTAACCCAATGATAACTGCACTTATCACCCAATTGTAACCCTATTCGGGTACTTAAGGGGCTTCGAAGTAGTCAAAAACTACACTTCAAATTGGGCTCTAAGTACTCTGAACCTCCCAGTCGGCTAGAGGGTTTAGGGTTTAGGGTTTTGGGTTTAGGGTTTAGGGTTGAGGGTTAAGGGTTGAGGGTTTCGGGTTTAGGGTTGAGGGTTTAGGGTTTAGGGGTCTCGGGTTTCAGGGTGCCTCCCCCCACCTCACCCCACCAAGAGCCGGACCTTCAGCAGAGATTCCGTGTCAGCAGGGTTTATATGGGCTCTTTATGGGGCTTATATCAAGTGTGATTATAGGGTTTGTATAGCTACCCTAAACCCTAAACCCTGAACCCTGAACCCTGAACCCTGAACCCTGAACCCTGAACCCTAAACCCTAAACCTTAACCCTAAATCCTAAACCCTACACGGGCTTTATACAGCTTCAGCGACCCCATGTCAGGCCTTGCCTTGCGCTTTGGGCGCTTCTTTGGCTCCCTTTGCGGCGCCTCGGCCTCCTCTACCTGGAGAGGTCGGGTATAGGGTTAGGGTTTAGGGTTTAGGGTTTGGGGTTTGGGGTTTAGGGTTTAGGGTTTAGAGGAGCGTGTGCGAGGCATTCTGGGGCTGAAGGTTTATTGAGGGTTTGGGGTTTAGTGTTTATGTAGGGTTTAGGGTTTTCAGGATGTTTAGGGTTTAGGGTTTGGTGTTTGGGGTTTAGGTTGCTAGGGTTGAAGGTGTATTTGCTATAGGGTTTATAGGGTTTATGGGTTTTATAGGGTTTTTTCGGGTTTATAGGATATAGGGTTTAGGATTTAGGGTTTCGGGTTTGGGGGTTTTGCTGTTTCAGAAAAAGAAGGCTTCTCAGACGGTTAGGGGCCTTTAGGGCTTCAGAGGGGGTTGGAGGGTTTAGGGTTTAGGGTTTAGGGTTTAGGGTTTAGGGTTTAGGGTTTAGGGTTTAGGGTTTAGGGTTTAGGGTTTAGGGTTTAGGGTTTAGGGTTTAGGGTTTAGGGTTTGGGAGATTTTAAGTTACTTTAACCCCACATAACCACAACACTTAGAGTCCCCTGAAGTCCCCTAAGTATCGGATATAAGGTATACTTATGCAGGGGTTGCAAGTACCCCAAACCCTAAACCCTAAACCCTAAACCCTAAACCCTAAACCCTAAACCCTAAACCCTAAACCCTAAACCCTAAACCCTAAACCCTAAACCCTAAACCCTAAACCCTAAACCCTAAACCCGACCCAAACCCAAGTACCCATGAACCTCCAAGTACCCCTGCCCAGCCTGCGGAGCGGCCTCCGCACGATGGGCCTGCGTAGGCGCAGGAGGAACCAGCCCCAACAACAAACCCTAAACCCTAACCCTAACCCCTATACCCTGAACCCTAAACCCTAAACCCTAGACCCTAAGCCCTAAACCCTGACCCTAAACCCTGAACCGTAAACCCTAATAGGTTTTTTAAGAATCTGGGAAAGAAGGGAACCTACACAGAGCCTACACAGACCCTTTTTTTCATAAAAGGTACCCCGAATACCACCAACCCCAACACAAGCCCTCAACCCTAAACCCTAAACCTTCAGAAGCTCGGTCCCCCAACCCCCAAACCTTAAAATCTGTTGGGCATATGGGGGTAGGTCAACCCGGGAAGGGGGGGAGGGGGAGGGGAGGGGAGGGGGGAGGGGGGGAGGGAGGGGGGGACGGGGGAGGGGGGAGGGGGGAGGAGGTGAGGAGGGGGGAGGGCGAGGGAAACCCCACCCCTCGATCCCAAAAAATCCTTCCAACACTTTTACAAGCGTTAGGACGTGGCCAACCCCGGCGGTAGGAGCCATGCCCATTATTAGCATCGACGTTATGAGTACCAGTACAAACGTGTCAAATATGTAAAACAAACCTCGCCACCATGGGAGGTCTGCGTGGGGTGGCTGGCAGGCCTTTTTGGGTTTAGGGCGCCCTGGATTGATGTGGTGGACACCCATTGGAAGCCTCAAAACCCTGAGATTTGTGAGAGGATGGTTGTGGGGTGGGAAGGTTAGCAGACTGGCGCGTGCACAAAATTCATTTCCGCCTGACACGGCCAAAACCCCAAAACCCTATAAACCCTAAAAACACTATAAACAGCATAAACCCTATAAACTCTATCTAAACACACTAGACCCACATAAACTCTCTCTCTCTCTCTCTATATATATATGTATATAAACCCGATAAGCCCTATAAGCACCATAACCTCTACATAAACCCCAAATCAACCCTATAGAAATCCTGTGAACCCGAAAACCCTACAACCCTATAAACCCTATACATCCTAAAAACCCTATAACCCTCTCGAAAGCCCTAAGAACCCTAAACCCGAAACTCTGCAAAATCCTAAACCGTGACAATGGGTAGTACCTCGGGGGCCCAGGAAACCCTACCTAAGCCCTAAGCCCTAAGCCCTAAGCCCTAAACCCTAAACCCCAAACACCAAACCCCAAACCCGTTTCGAGGGTCCTTGCCGCGCTTCAACTTCCGGCCCGGCTTGGGACCTGGTCTGATTTGGGCTTCTTATGGACTTAAGGGTTTAGGGTTTAGGGTTGAGGGTTTAGGGTTTTTTGGGAGCTTAGGATGTGTTTTTTTTTTTTTTTTTGGGGGGGGGGGTTTTGTGAATTAGGGCTTTTGGATGTTTTTTTTTAAGGGTTTTGGGATGTTCTAGAGGTTTCAGGATGTTTTAGGGGACTTTAGGGGGTTTGGGGCTTTAGGATGCTGTAGAGGTCTAGGAGCTTTCGTAGTGGTTTGGGGTTGGGAGATTAAGGTTTCGGGTTTAACGTGGACTATTGTTCAGGAACTCACTATACTCCCCTTAGGAGCATAAGAAACAGCAAAACGTTTAACATCCCTGGCTTCATATAAACCAAAATGACTTGCTAAAAGTTGCAATGATCAAAATGCCCTATATGTGTGTGTATATATGTACACACATTTTTTTGCTTGTATTTGTTTCTACTAAAAAAACGAACTCCTGATGGTTCTAGAGTGCTTGAAGTTCCTTAACAACAACAGTCCTGTCTTAGGGGGCTTCGAGGGGGGGTTGGAGTTTCGGGCTTTCCGGTGCTTTTTGCAGACTCGAAACAAGGTTTACAGCTGAAGGACGGGGCTTCTAGGGTGCTTTGAGGGCTTGAAAGAGCCCTTAAGCCCTAAACCCTAAACCCCCTGCGCAAGCCAGGTTGTTCGCAAAGCGGGCATTGTGATGTTGAGACTTCGGGCAGCGCGCGCGTGGGCTGTGAGAGCATTTCGGGCTTGGGTTCTTCCTCAACAGGGCGCGGGCGCCAGCTTGTCCTACCTTGAGAACCAAATGAACCCTAATAGGGCTTCTGGCTCATATCCCAACAAGGACTATAGTCATATTGGGTATATGGTCCCAATTTTCGGGTTCGTTTGGTTCCCAGGGTACAAGCCATCATACCGAACGCGTTCCATTACATTGGCCACAGACTGCCGTAAGTACCATCTGGAATGAACTCGTGCGACTTTAGGGTTTAGGGTTTAGGGTTTAGGGTTTAAGGTTTCGGGTTTAAGGTTTAGGGTTTAAGGTTTAGGGTTTAGGGTTTAAGGTTTAGGGTTTAGGGTTTATTTCAAGCTTATGGGAGTGTTCGAAGGAGCGGAGTAGCACAGTGCTTCCCATGCTAGAGTGTATGCTTGGCAAGTCGTCACTACCCGCACGCCCGGCACGCGTGATTTGTTGCAGGTTGCAAGAAATGTTACCCAGAATGAGGTGCCCGGTCATGGGCATGTGCTGCTTTGGCTGGTGCAAGACCTCCACTTGCCATGCAAGTGTTGCATATTTGGAAGCTTCTGCACTTGGTCTTGCATGAAGGGTCGGACAGGACTGGGCTAGAGGACCCTAACATGGAATGCCAAGATCTAGCTCGAATAGTCGCAGGTCCCTTCAGCGTGGATAAAGCCCTCTCTCCATCTCCAAACCTCCCACACCTGCCCTGGGCAGGAATTGCTGGTCGGACGCCCAACGTCCGCACACACCCTAGACTACAAAAAGTCCAAACCCTCGGGCCCTGAACTTGCTTCGGCCCTACCTCTGGAGCTTGAAATCCCTAAACCCTCACGCCCCCTGAAAAAGAAGTTTAGGGTTTAAAGAACACCTCAACCCCTAAGTGCGGGACGCTGGCAGACTCCGATGTTTATGATGGCTTCAGTGCTTTCGTACCATGTACATGTATAATTTGTTGGGTCTACATATGTACAAGTTCATTTGGTCTACATGTATAATTTGCTGGGTCTACATGTACAATTTGTTGGGTCTACATGTACAAACCCTAAACCCTAAACCCCTAAACCCCTAAACCCCTAAACCCTAAACCCTAAACCCCTAAACCCCTAATGTACGAAAACTAGAAGAATCAACGTTGTAAACGTTCAATGTCTTGTGATCTGCTGATGCATGCCTCCCAGGTGGACAACTAACCCTACAACTCCGATCGCTTTGCGTGGGCGTGTTCATCATTATGAAAACTCTTTAAAGTTAATATTAATATTAATATTAATATTAATATTAATATTAATATTAATATTAATATTAATATTAATATTTATATATATATATATATATATATGGGTGCGATTGAAACCCTTGCCTACTTCCTGCGCAGATCCTGTTTATGAATCCTATATTCTACAACATACCCACAGGTTCGTAGGAGATTGATGTCCGCGACAATGATTTTATGGATACTCTTTCAATGGGAACTACCCTGCACAACATAGGGTTTAGGGATAGGAGGTTTGAAGCCAAAGATACACCAACTCCCCCTTTCCAATTCTCCCCACACCCCCCCCCCCCCCCCCCCCTCCACGCTCCCGCTCACCCCCGCCCCCCCCAACTCCCCCCCAACTCCCTCCCCACTCACTCCCCCCCACTCATCCCACCCCACCCCAAAGCTCCTGTCCCTTGAGCTGCTATGGGTCGGCCGAGGACAAGCTTTGAGCCCATCAGCCTCTATAGACGCTATATGACGCAATCATATGGGTGGGTATTCTAGACGTTAAATGGCGCCATCGTATGGATATGATACACTCTGTCTTCTTCACTATCTTTGGCATTTAAAGCATGCACCTTATTATCAATCACGATGCCTGGTGCATTCCTTTGGCTGCATGTGGCAACTTTTTGTCAAAATTCATGTAAGACCTCGCAAGGGTACGTTGTGCACGACCTCATGTATTATAGAGTTCTTGAATGAGGGCGGTTCAAGGGGGGGTAGGGAACCTTAGGGAAGCTCAGGAAGCCTTAACGAGTAGTAGGGAGTATTAGGGAAACTTGGGTTCTATACACCCCTGGAACCCTCCTCCCTTATAAGAACCCTGCAAATGTATGTTGCGAGTTTGCCGCACATGTGTGGAGAAGCAGGAGCAGGCCAGCGTGCCTTTCTGTTTCTATCAGGGGACGGCAGCCCCTCTGGTTTCTTGCGCCCAAATCCCTAATCCCTAAACCCTAAACCCTAAAAACCCTAAAGCCCTCAACCCTACACATCCCTTGACCCCGTCAACCCTGGAGACGCTGAGGATTTCGGGTTTAGAGAGCCTTGACCCCAAAACCCCTAAGGACCCAACAAAATCGAAAGAACAAGCCTAAACCCTACACCCTCAAACTCTGAACCCTAAACCCTAAACCCTAAACCCTAAACCCTGAACCCTGAACCCTAAACCCTAAACCCTAAACCCCCCGCTTGGGGGGTTTTGATTCTGAGGCAGCATGAACACCTCGCCAAGCAGCTGGGCTCAGCGACCTCGGCTCAAGGATCATCGGCCACATCTTGGGGACTTAGGGTGGAGTGTGAGGCGCGTTTAGGGCTTCCTAAACCCTAAACCCTAAACCCTAAACCCTAAACCCTAAACCCTAAACCCTAAACCCTAAACCCTAAACCCTAAACCCTGAACCCTGAACCCTGAACCCTGAACCCTGAAGCCCAGGGCTTCTGAGGGTTTCTTACGGGATTGGAGCTTGAAGGCTCAGAAGGGTAGAGGGACATCTTTAAGGGGCTTATAGGGTTTGTACTGCCTAGGGATTTTCGAGGGCTATACTACAGGGCTGGTGTACGCAGGGCAGGGCACGCAGGGCTTGAGACGTCCTCACTCCAATCACTACACTACACCAAACCCTGCACCCTGTGAGGTGCAGGGTTTAGGGTTTAGGGTTTAGGGTTTAGGGTTTAGGGTTTAGGGTTTAGGGTTTAGGGTTTAGGGTTTAGGGTTTAGGGTTTAGGCTTTAGGGTTTAGGGTTTCGGGTTTCGGGTTTAGGGTTTAGGGTTTAGGGGGCTAATAAAGACCTTTCAGTCCCATAAGGCCAAAAACCAAAACCGCTAAGCCTGCATATCACACCTAGAAACCCCAAACCCTAAACACTAAACCCTAAACCCAAAAACCCTAAAACCTAAACCCTAAACCCTAGTCCTGCTCTTCGTCAGCCTGCTGAGCCTGGGACCGCGGATGTCGAGGGAGCCTTCTCTGGCTCATCGCCCCCCTCCTCCTTGAGCTGTTCCTTCCAAGGGATGTTTGGGCTTGGGGTGCTGTAGGGTGTTCGGCTGCAGAAGAGAGTCGTCCACAGAAAGCACCCAGCTGTACTCTAGGAGCCTTAAGAACTAGAACAGGCTTTGGGGGGGGCTTGTTCTGGTACATTTATATAGGGACCACAAGGGGATACGACTAGCAGTTCTTCCGACCCTAAGACGTAGGCTTGTCCTTCCCCTTCCGTTTCTTCTTCTGCTTCTGCTTGGGCGTGGGCTTCGCTTCGGCGACCATGCCTGCCCATGAGGGTCGAGGTTGATGTGAGGCTCTTCTCCCAAGAGTAACCCCCTTTTTTGGTGTAGTGTAGAGGGGCTTATAAGGGACCTGAAGTCCTAAACAAAGGGGAACACGGGCCTACTCTGTGTCCTAGGCTTTCTTGCAGCCCCATGAGTCTCAACACCTTTGCCTACGGCGCAGCAGGTTCCATGCGTTCAGGGTTGAAGCTGTGTGTTTAGGGCTTTGCGTCTAGGGTGTCGGGTTTAGGGTATAGGGTTTAGGGTTACGGACACGAGCCTGGCTTCATGTCGGATGCCTGCCCAGGGAAAATGTCAGGCAGCGCGCAGGCATCCGTCTCGCAACACAGACGCAGCAGACTGCATCACAAGGGGCAGCAAAGGCCCTGGCAGCAAGACAAAGCACCCTAAACCCTAAAACCCTAAACCCTAAACCCTAAACCCTAAACCCTAAACCCTAAACCCTAAACCCTAAACCCTAATCTTTTTTGGCGATTGGCACTACTCATCGTCAGAATTACACCTGCCTGCGGCTCTTCATCCGCAGCATCCAAGGCAGTGTTTGTGCCTCTGGGAGGATTTTGGGGGGAAGATTGAGGGTTTAGGGTTTGGGGTTTAGGGTTTGGGGTTTAGGGTTTGGGGTTTAGGGTTTAGGGGTTAGGGTTTGGGGTTTGGGGGTGGTTTAAAGACACAGGGGGCTTAGGGTTAGGGCCTTCGGGATGTTGGGTGTATTACACATGTTTAGCTGCTGAGTTTCATAAGCCCCCCCAAAAGTGCACACTTTCAGCTCTACAGGGGACATCTGTAAGCCCGCATGAGCCAGGAAAAACTCTGATATTTCAACCATGGAAGCCCTGCCTGAGCCTTCGCCGTTCCTGAGATCCTAGAAAGTGCAAAGCCGCACATAGCCCCACACACCGAACCCTTTGAACTAAACCCCCATCAAGCCGTGAATGTTGCAGCCCTTGTCTACCCTTAAAGCCTAGCAACTAAATCCGAACATGTCTACCCCGTAAATCCTAGCAACTAAATCCTAACATGTCTACCCCCTAAATCCTAGCAACGAAATCCGAACATGACCTTAAACCAGAGAAAGCCCTTAAAAGTAAGGCACCGCATTTTACACCTCAAAATGCTAAAATCCAACAAGGGACGCCCCGAGGAAACTCCCATATTTGCTCCCCGAAACCCTAAACCCTGGTGAGCTGCCAGCCTTCGAGCGCCAGCTGCTCGCGGATCATCCGCCGGATCTCCGCCCGCCTGCCCAAGGCGCGGAAGCTCCAGAGAACTCGGGGGCGGGGGGGGGGGGGTAGGGTTTAGGGTTTAGAGTTTAGGGTTTACCAGTGGCGCCCAAAACCCTGAAAAATGACGGTCGCGGATAAGGAACCCGTCTTTGAGTGACATGAAGTCTAAGAACCTGGTTTGTCTAGAAAAAGCCTGGTTTCTAATGACATAGGTATACAAGTGTAGATGGTAGCTATGCAAGTAGAGGCTGACAGTCATCAAGATTCAGTCAGGGGATGCCCTAGATAATAATTGCCCAACCCTAATTGACCCTAAACGAAGGGCGGCCTCCATCCACCAGCCGGCTCGTTGGGCATGTGGAATCAGGCCGGGCTTACAGGAACTTTAGGGGGGTATACAACACAATCTTACACGGACTATAAAGGGCTCGGTTCTACATAGCCCGAATGGGCTTGCCCAGATGCTTCAAGCCACATGTAGGAAGTGGCAACCCTTCTTACACTAACACTAAACCGCAAACCGGCTGAAGTAAAGAAGCCTGCACGCAATGGCACCAAAGCCAATTTCTTCGACAGCTGGTCTCGCTCCCAGAGCCTTTCTTTCAGCTTTCCAGTCCTGCAAGCGCAGCTCATGAGCTGAACAGTGCAGTTCTCTGGTAGCTGTTTGGCTTTTGTTAGCACGGGGTTGGTTCAGAAGAATCTTAGAGGGCAATGGCTGCTAGCTCTTCGTCTTTGTCAATGGAGCCAAGCGATGGGGGCCAGGCTCCTGCTTGTGAGATGACAAGCTTCATCGATGGGCTTGGACAGGTGTGGGACGCCGACCCTGAGATCAGGTCACTTTTGCGGGGTGGGGGGCAGCTCTTTAAACCCCTGTCTGAGCGCAACATGGACATCAAGACCCCATCCAAGCTGCACTTTGTTATGAAGCCTCTCTTGGAGAAGATGGCCGAAAACGACAAGAAAGTACCCGGTATCGATGCATTGCGTGAAGAAGTGAAGTTGGTGTATAAACTCAACCACCGCGAAGTCACTTCTTTCGACATTGATACAGCTTCTTGGAACCTTCGGAAATATGCTGGCTTCGTCAAGATGAAGTGTCGAAAGGGTTTGGTTTCCACTGACACTTGCATTCTCAGCATTGTTCTTGTGGTTTCTTTGTTCTAAGTGTCTTCGAGTGAGCTTGCGGAGTCGAATTTACCGGAAATTTGATCAGTTGTGGTATGTACATAAGTGCCTTTTCCCCTTTCTTCCCCGATCGTGCTCAGGACCCAGTCTTTCAAGAGCTCTGCTTGACCTTGGACCCAACGTTGCAGGCTGGGGTCAGTTGTTTTTGAGAGTCCTTCTTACGTTCCACCACAGTTGTCACAGAGGATCCAAGTCCAAACAGCCAGCGTAGATAGAGTTACGTAAGTGACATGTAGGCTGTGATACGTGTGTGGAGGAGGTGGTGAACGCCATTCGTGCGCGGATGAAGGAGAGGTGTGGTGCCTCACATGATCCGGCTGAGGAGAGGGTTCGGTTTCGGAGTGTACTCTTCTAGCTGTTCATTCTCGAAATGTTGGGTGAATCGCATGTGGTACAAACACGGTTATATCTTTCTTGGGCAACAAAAACAGGAGGGAGACGAGGACGCCTATGACGACGATGATGGCGATAATGGTGACCATGATGAAGACGATGGCCACGACAATGGCGCCGGGGTTGGCCCTCTTGTACCTGCTGGCGACGGCTCTGGTCGCGCTGGTGCTTGTGAGGCCGAGACAATCGTGATCGAGGACGATGTGGTCAAGGCGGAGGCCACGCCAGCTGAGGATGCGCCAGAGGTTTTGTCGTCTGCAAGTGCAGTGACAAGCCCTATCCTTCCTCGAACCCCGTATGCATGGAGCCAAATGTTAGATATAATGTTTTGTGTGCTAAGAACAAATATGTAGTGCATCGAGTGCGATTGAACGCAAACCACTTCCCAGGCGAGGCCTATGAGATGGCTGAGGTTTCGGAGCAGCTTGCGGCAGCAAGGGCGAGGATGGCCGCGCTGCCTGGCCCACCTTCTTGAGGGATGCTTTTCAAAGGGTGTGCAAGAACTGTCGCAGGGCAAGTTAATGGCACATGTAGAGCTATATGTATAGCTTCAAGTCAACCGGAATGAGGTTGATTGAGAGGAAGAAGAAGGTCGAGAATCAACATGCTGATGAAGCACGGCTGGCGCTGAATGCAGGACGCAAACTAGAGTAACTAGTTCACATATTCTATCAGAAAAATATAGGGAGGTCTTCTTTTGGTCTGTAAACAGCTCCATAAAAGTCTGGATGTACATCGAACATTTATAGAACAATCCTCTGTAGGAGCTTGCTTGGACGACGTGGACACGGTTCCCACGAACATCTTCGATGCGCCGTCCCCCCCACCCTCGACCCATCGGGCTTCTGGTGAGACTCCTGCGGCCGATGAGCTGCGTGAGCAGTTCCAGGCTCCGCACGTGAAGCCAGCCGATAGTGCAGCGACTGCCCGCTTCGGGGACATCACTCCGGAGGATCAGGTGTGGGTTCTGGCAAACGTCGTGCGTCATCAGGCGTATAATCGTAATTTCAAACTGATTGATCGATGCAAGCGACAGTGAATGTGAGAGAGAGAGGAGGGGTCTTTGGTGTATGTAATCCAGTAATCCATGGTCGCTGTATAGAGCGAGAGCGAAAGAGATGGTGATAGCTGGGAGCACTTGCGAACCTGTGGTTTGTTGTTCTTGCGCAGGTGCTGGCAGCAATGGGTGGCTGCTTCGTGACCAAGGCTGACCAGGCCTCGCGCAAGCCCAGAAAAACCAAGGGCAAGGGGAAGGACGCCAAGGTGAAGAAGGACATTAAATGCAAGAGTCCGAAGGCCGGGGTGGCAAAGAATGCCAAGCGCAAGCCGCAGCGTGGGGCCAGGAGACGCCGCGCGGTGCTCAAGCGATCTTTGTCGGCAGACTTGTCTGCGGCCGCCGATGAGTCTGCTTCGCCTACATCCAAGAAGCCCCGAAAGGCTGCCTCGACGTCCACAGCGGGCGACGAAGCCTCCCCGAAGTCCACAGCAAAGACCCCAAAGAAAGTCTCCCCCAAGTCCGCAGCAAAGGCCCCAAAGAAAGTCTCCCCCAAGTCCAAGTCCAAGAAAGCCTCCCCCAAGAAGGCCGCAACGACGGGCAAGGGGCGCCCCTGCAAGTCCAAAGCAAGGGCAAAGAAAGCCTCCCCCAGCTCCAGCAAGCCCGAAACAGAAGAGAACATGAACGCCGAGCCAGAACAGAACTTGCTCGCCGATTGCGAGTGGGAGTATGACGCTGAGCTTGTAGCACGCTTCATGGACTTTGGCGGGAAGTTTGAGGCGGATGTGGACGGTGGCCGCGCCTTTAGCCCGGCGCTCAAGAAGGAGATCCGGGCCGTTCTGCCGAAGTTCACCCGCACGCTCTACAACATCTACTGGACCAGGCTGACATCCTCCCTGAAGATTAAGAGCGGTGAAAAGAGCAGCGCGAAGGATTACTTCACCATCAATGCCTCTGCTGCGGACTTTCCGGAGCTCGACCTTTCCTACACGCACCGCATGCTGTGTGGAATCCAGAGTGTTGTGGAGATCGTTCCTCGGCAAGTTTCTGTTTTGTGTTCAGTTTGAAATATATAACGTTCCACAGATTGGGATTCATGTTGAAATTTCCGGAAGTGTGATACACAAGGCCCGCGTCGTCGAGAAGAGCATCGTCGACGCCCCCCTTGAGGACCGCGTCGGCTGGGCTGACTTGGGAGCCGAGGTTATCTACCACGACCAGAACGTGATGTGGGAGTTGGACCGGATCAAGTACCACGGAAACATTGCCCTTGAAAAGCTCCACGAGGCCACCCTGTGAGCAATGACACTTCCAAAGTTGCAGGCGTTGCAACTGAGGCCATCATGAAGCTTTGAGTGGGAGCTATCGCTCGATGTTGCATAGCTGGGGTTTCAATGCTGCGTGCGCGCCGTTTAGTGGCATGCGCTTGTGCTTTCGAACGACAATGAGGTGACTTCAGGTTTTGGGCACTTAGACGGTGCAGGGGTCTCAAGTTCCGTCTTGCCGATGTACAAGCGAATAGGGCTTCTAGGGCTTATAGGGTTTATAGGGTTTAAAGGTTTATGTAGGGCCTGTACATGCTTCTTTTACAAAGAATGTTGCCTCGAATTTTGGTATGACGTCGACAGTCAATCCTGACTGATGCAGCCTGCTGGCCTCCAGAAACCGGCTACACTCACTAGCCACCATTCTTTCCTAGCTCTCGCAAAGGTATAATAAGCTACATGTTCGAGCCCGGTCCTGGGGAGATCGGCCTAGAAGCTTTGCATCTTAGTTGCCTCAGGATGGCAACATGTTTCGACCGTGCTGCGGAGCAAAGCTCAATCCAGCAAAGTTCAGTCACAGGAGAACGAAAGCGTCGGCCTTTGTGGGGTTGAGATAGGGAGTTCAAACTGGTAAGCGGTATGTACTGTCACAGGTCTCTATATAAATATATATATATATATATGGGTTCTCTTGAGGTTTGTATCCTTCTCTGGGGTTGAGACTATTCGTGAATAAGATAAAAGCCAACCCCGCGCATAGCGAATGCCCCCAATCCCATCCCATGTATACAGCAGAGTCGGTAAATCACTTGAACTGCCAGTAAGATATGTGTACTCTTACACTTCTCAACCCAACCACAGCCCCACTTCTCGCCCAGGCCAGAAGCCACTGCGAAAATGCCACGGCTTCATTTGGAAGCACCGCGTGGAGTTCCAGAAACGTCTCTGCAACACCCGGCATGTTTATGCTCATTGCGAACTTAAGTTTATAGGGTTTCTAGGGTTTCTAGCGTTATACAGGGTTTATAGGGTTTATAGGGCTTATAAGGATAAAAGGTTTTATAGGGTGTTAGGGTTTTATAGGGTTTGTAGGGTTTCTCAGAGTTTGTGGGGGTTTATGCGGGTTTATAGGGTGAATAGGGTGTTATGGGGTTTACAGGGTTTGGGGTTTATAGGGTTTTTAAGGTTTATAGGGTTGCGCGCGCAGCACCTAAAGATGCATGCTGGGGCTTGTGTTCTCTGAGTGAGAAGGAATCTCGCCTTGTACTTCCAGTCAAGCGGAGTAGATAGAGATCTCGATCTTTGTGTTTCCTGTGGGCAAATGATGGAAGCCCAGCGTCTCGATGAACTTATTTGGATGCTTGGTGTCATGAGCGTGCCAAAGGAGCCTTGCCACCACAGTCTTGCAAATATCTGTCCCGACACACACTCATTGAACAATCCCATCCCCGTGTCGTAGACACATGTTCTACAGGAGTTTGTGGCCTGCCTTCTCCTGGTGATATTTTCAGTCAAGAACCTGAACCAGGACAGCTCTGCCAGTTTAGACACCTGCTTGTGGTTCTGAGAGTCGTTCCACCCCATACGCACCAAAAGCTTCCTTAGGGTTTAGGGTTTAGGGTTTATAGGGTTTATAGGGTTTATAGGGTTTATAGGGTTTTTAGGGTTTATAGGGTTTATAGGGTTTAGGGTTTAGGGTTTAGGGTTCTCCTCCGAAAACGGAAGCCATCCAGCAGCCCGGCAGCGCCACGTGCCTGTGCAGGACTTTCAGTTCCTTGAATTTTATGGAGGACGAGCCCATGTTACATACGCCATGAGGCAGGACCACCGCAAGGCAGGTTGTTTCGACCTTTTGCACAACTCGCGTTTTCACAGGAATGGGAAAGTCCGACGGGCTGGAACCAAAAACAAGACAAACTACATGGACCTCCTCAGTCCAGCTGGTTTCTGGTCTCTTGACATTGACTGGGGGCTTGCTACAGCTGATCATGCTGTGTGTGTGTGTTCACTGCTGGCAGCTTCTCATCTAAGTCTTGGCCTCTACTTCCTGCTACGGGGCGTGGAGGGCGAGCTATTCGCGACTTACGCGATTCAATGTTCGAGTTTCTGCGGTATCAACCGCGGGACATCGAACCGATCGGCCTCGGCACCTTTGGTCATATAGGATACGCCTCTGTGCGCCAGGCTAACAAGCTGCTAGAGCGGAGTCTGGTCGTCATTAGTGGGTTCATAGCAAGGTTTGCCCGCATCGTTGTTTGTGTGTCTAAATCTTCCAACCTCCCTGCAATGTGTGGCCCAGAACCATCCTTTTCCTCTATGTCACGACGATCGTCGGGGGGGTTTGGATGCTGGAGCAACCCTCCGGCTCCAGTTTGGAGTTCTATCCCTCATTTAGGGATATGCTGCGTGCGCATTACGCGGTGTCCGGCAGCCAGGCAGCTCCGGGCTCGTGATTCAGACACAGTGACCAAAAACCCTACAAACCCTCCCTATATATAGCCTACAACCCAATAAACCCCCTGAAGCTTATAAACCCTACACATATGGTATATAGGGCTTCGTGGGTTTATAGGGAGGATCCAAACAGTGAGTCCCCTTGAGCGTTCCGAAGAATGAGCCAATATTAGTACTATGTAGGGGAATAATTGGGGGCTCTACTTTTTGGTTCCTCCCACGTCTGGGTTTATGTAGTTTGTGTGTATTTATATATACAGAAATACATGTATACATATACACATATGTATATATATATATATATATGTATATGTATATATATATATATATACATATATATATATATATATATATACATATATACATATATACATGTAAACACATATATGTATATATATATATATTTACATATATATATATATATATATATGTGTAGGGTGTATATTTGCATATAGGGTTAATAATAGAGTTTCGGGTTTGTGTGGTTGGCACCCTGGGGATGGCCAGGGTCCCCCCCACCCCCCCACCCCCCCCCCCACCCCCCACCACCCCCCCCCACCCCCCCCACCCCCCCCCCCCCCCCCCCCCCCCCCCCCCCCCCCACCCCCCACCCCACCAAACCCAAATTTTCTGTTGGGTTTGCTTGAAGCACAGCCCCCCACCCCCCATGCAACCCACCCCCCCCCCACACCCCCCCCCCACTCCCCCCCCCCCCCACCCCCACCCCCACCCCCCCCCCCCCCACCCCCCCCCCCACCCCCCCACCCCCCCCCCACCCCCCACCCCTCACACAACCCCAACGAAAAAAATTACTCGTTTGGGTGCCCCCACCCCCCCCGACCCTGGGTCTGACCCCCTCCCATGCGCACAAAAGCATCGTGAGCATCAGCGGGCGTGGGCTTGTGTGTGAAGGGGTGGCCATGCCCAACACCTTTGATTTGCTTTCTTTGTAGGGGTTTATAGGTTTCAAAGGTTTCTATAGGGTATAGGGTTTAGAGAAAGCCCTTTCTAAACCCTATATATATAACACAAACCCTCTGTAAACCCCCAGTTTGTACGTGGTAGTCGGGCCTTCAAGAGTCTCAAAATCACAGTGCAATTTCCTAACTTAGGTTACGCGTGCTGCCTGGTGGATGTCCCACTTCAATGGGCCCACACCAAAACGTCACTACTGTTGGGCAAATTCCAAGGCCGTGTCCAGCCTGGCCAAAGGAAAACTCCACATCGCCGAGTGGCGCAAGAACCTGAAGCAACCGTGCCCCAAAACGACAAAGAGGGGAATCAATGGCCAGGGTAAAGAAACTTGGACGGCCACTCCGGCTTTAAAGCGAACGCAGTGACTCGGACGGTCTCACGCAGCATGATGTCTTTACATGTGTTTACAATTTGCTTTGAGGCGCCCAGTTTTGCAGTCATGGAATTTGTCACATTCTAGAGATACACGCACACGTGTGCAACTTAGGGAGTATCCGAAGAGATTCGCTCGAGAACTCGTGAAGCTATCTTCTTCCCTGCTGCAGACAGCCTCTGGGCGCCCCGCTATTCCAGGAGATGGTGTGCCCCCGGCACTCCAGACCTTCACGTCCATGGAGTATGGACAGCACGATGGCTTGTTTGACTTTGCGGACTTGAACGAAGTCTACATCTACTTAAGGGGCGGCGAGGGTCTGAACCTTCCTAGTCTGCAGTGGAGAGATGTTTTGCCGACATCTTTGCCTTTCAGCCTTCCTAAAGGCTTCGACTAGCCAGTTTTCGATCAAAGAATATGTGCCGGTTTCGTGGAATTCCTGCTAGTTGGATAGGGGACTATACGGGTTTTGTGTTTGGTTTTGGGTCTAGAAAGGTTCTACTATGCCATTTTAATAAATTTTCGCTTTCAGCGGTGTTTACGAAGCCGGGACATTCCAGGGTGCTGAAGAACCGGGTTTTACGTGCCAAGAACCAGGTTTTACCCATCCAAAACCCATCCGGAACCCATATTTAACCCATCCGAACCCAAAATGCCCGAAAAACCCGGCTCCCGCCCAACCCGTCCGTAACCCGTACGGAACCCGTAATTAACCCGTAGAAACCCATAATTGAATTATGGGTTTCTGGCCCGAAAACCCGGTTTCTGCATATAGTGGATTTTACCACTTTTGCTGGAGCGGAAGGATGCTCGAAGCGTCTGTCGCTGAATTTGGTGAGTTCCGGGGAAGCTATCGATCTGAGTTGCTGGTGCCGCGAAAGCTAGATAGCGCGTTTTCTATGTCGTGTATCGGGTCGCGATCACTTCTTGTACTTGGTTCAAGAATTTCTCATGCTCGGAAGAAGCATGTTGCAACTTCAACTGTCTCTTGCTCTGTTCTGAATGGCTTCGAGCGTTTTTGTGTCGGCTAACGGCCACCGCCTGGCCTAGCTGTTGCCCAGCATGACTCAGTGCGTCTCGAAGCAGTGGAGCTGTGGCACTTTTTTGGATGGAATAGCCCATGTGGAACGGGAAGCTTCGAAAGAACTACTCCAGAATCTTGAGTCGGAAGAAGAGAGCCTTCGACGTGAGATCCAGGAGTTCCTTTCTTGTGGGGTTTTAGAATGTTCCTGTGCCCTGAAAGCCATTTATTGCCCACAGGAGCTCGAGGCCCGAGAACAAACCTTGGCTATCCCGAAGCCTGCGACAACGCCGGAACCTTCCGAGGTAGGTCTGCAACCCAGATCAAGCCCAAACAACACCCCTACAAAACTCGGTAAAACACTTGTCGTCATTGGAAGGTGGCCATCAACCCTGCCGAGCCTGACGAGGTCGATGCCTGCGCGACCTCAGATGTCTATGAGGCTTCTGATGTCACTGAGGCAGTCACCCTCCCAGTTACTAGCCCAAATTAAAGACATGTCTCCTGAGCCTCGAGATGATTCTTAGCACAGATCATATAGCTACACCCAAAGCCCAAAACCCCTTAATTAAGGAATATCATATTTAGGGTTTAGGGTTTATAGGGTTTATAGGGTTTAGGGTTTAGGGTTTATAGGGTTTAGGGTTTAGGGTTTATAGCCTGGCCTTCCCAGCCAGGGCAGCTGGGAGTGGAGGTGGCTCGTTCCTGGCACCAGCAGGATCCCGAGAAGTGTAGGGTTTCGGGTTTAGGGTTTTTAGGGTCATTAGGGTTTATAGGGTTTATAGGGTTTAGGGTTTAGGGATTCTTTTTAGGATTGAAGGAGGAATATATATAGGCCCCCTAAAAAAAGGGTATTGGGCTCTTTGGGCAATGCGCATTTTCTATGTCGAGTAATGTGAGCCTGACCACTTAGGCTACCCCGCAGGAAATTAGCGAGCTATGCATAGGCCAGCTTGTCGCGCCGTGACGGCACATTTCTACAGTTGTGTCGGCAGCAACATGTGCCGGTGTACATGGAGTGCAAAAGAACTCGATCAGGATGATGAAAGTGATATGGAGGATTGCCAGCTTAAGAGTGTGCTCTTATCCCTTCACTCCCAGAGTGACATGCTGAGCGCGAAGCCAGAGAACGCAGATGGGAGCACGGACGGTGCACCTGGGGTCAAGGACATGCCATGTCAGCAGAGACCTCTCGCAACCCCATGCCGGTCTGAGCCCAGCAAGTTGCCTATGGTTAAGAGGGAGCGTGTGGAAACTGAGAATGGCTCAGAGTCACAGGCTGCAGGTCCAAGTTCTGAGCCTCTTGCAAAGCGGCCCCGCAGGCAGCAGACACGCCAGGACAGACCTTCCGAGCAGTCGTGGGGTGGAGTCGGTGGGGGTTGGAGTCGCTCGGCTAGTTTCGCTCGTCGCTGGTATTTAGGTGAGTACTTTGCGCGTGCAGACACAGGAGTTGCTGGCGCTGGCTGCGAAGGCGAGGATTCGCCGCATGATCCAGCCCAAAATCCGGCGGACCGATCTCAATGTGCCGGACTTTGTAAAGAAGCACTGGGACTCCGGAACGAAGGCCAAGGACGAGCTGGCGCAGATGCTCAAAGATGCAAACTTCGAGCGTGAAGCTCTGATGCAGATGCTGCTTGTTTGTGTTTGTGTGTGTGTGTGTGCGTTTGCGATCGTGCGTGCGTGCGCGGTTTAGGGTTTAGGATTTATGGGGTTTATAGGGTTTAGGGTGTATAGGGTTTAGGGTTTATAGGGTTTATAGGGCTTATAGGGTTAATAGGGTTTATAGTATATAGTTTATAGGGTTTAGGGTTTATAGGGTTTAGGGTTGATAGGGTTTAGGGTGTGTGTGTGTGGGTGTGGGTGTGTGTGTGTGCGTGTGTGTGTGTGTGTGTGTGTGTGTGTGTGTGTGTGTGTGTGTGCGCGCGCGTGCATGGCTGTGTGTGTGTGTGTGGGGTGGTGTGTGTGTGTGGGCGTGTGTGTGTGTGTGGGGTTGTGTGTGTGTGTGTGTGTATGTCTGTGGTTGTGTGTGTGTCTGGTTGTGTGTGTGGTTGCGTGGTTGTGTGTGTGTGTGTGCGTGGTTGTGTGTGTGTGTGGTTGTGTGTGTGTGGTTGTGCGTGTGTGGTTGTGTGTGTGTGGTTGCGTGGTTGTGTGTGTGTGGGTGTCTCTGTGTGTGTGTGTGTGTGTGTGTGTGTACGTGTGTCTGTGTGTGTGTGTGTGTGTGCGTGGGTGTGTGTGTGTGTCTCTGTGTGTGCATGTGTGTGTGTGTGCACGTGCGAACAACAGCCTTGAACCTGTCGGGGTGAGTTTCCCTTAGGACGCATTTGTCGCTACGGTGGAAAGGATAGTGGTCAAGAAGGAGAAGTACTCCATGACAGTCGAAGAAGGGTGGTTTGCAGAAGAAGAACTAAGAGATGAGTTGGGGTGGTCAGCTACGAAGATTGCCGGGGCCATCAAGCACTGCATGGCCAACAAAGAAACCCATGTCAGGTGCGCCTGTCGTGTAATATAGGTTCTGCTCGTGCGGAAACAAGTCATAGAAAGCGTCTGAAAAAGAACATGTGCAGGTCCAATCTCTACGATGGGGCCCTCGAATATTGGGTGAAGATCAGGGAACGCGGCGTTCGCAAAGAAACCTTGTCAAAGGAAACACACGAGCGTGAGAAGAGCAAGGCATGTGCGCGGTATGAAGTCATGTCGCCCCCAACCTCTAAACTGTTATGTGACCCAGTCCATGGTCTCACACCTGCAGGGCGGGCCGGTGGTGATGCCGGAGAACTTCTGCAAGAACCTGGGCGGGGTGGAGCAGCGGGCGCTGGCAGACAAGAAGGATGCAAACAAGGCAGAGGACGACACCAAGAACGCGAAATTCACCCAGGCACTATCTAGTTGCTGATTCATACATGGTTTTGGGGCTTTCTTCTCTCAAATCCCAGTTCCCCGCGTTGCTTGTTGTAGTGACCCCTGTTTCGTTCAGACTGCGGAAGCACTCAACAAGTACATTGACTCCCTGAACACGCGATCGGGTAAACTTCGGGGATTGGTCAACGACCTGCGGAAGAACTACTCTGCCCAGGAGACAAGCAAGTCTGCAACACAGGAAAGAGGATGATGCTGTGTCAACTTTCAAACCTTTGAAGCCGAATTTCCTCTGGTGCGCCACATGTCTACCCAGGCCCATTGCTGACCTGGAGAAGGAGATCCAGGCCCTCGATTACCACTACGAGTTGTGCGTTGAGGCCAAGACGAAAGGCGAACTTGAAGGCCTCAAGCAGGAGCTTCTCGCCTGATCAGCCATGGGTCTGATTGGCACACTGTTAACAGCGCTCTTCCATATGCTGTGCCTTCGTCTTCGCCGAAACAGGTTTTACGATCTTGCTGAGAAGAGGATGAAAGATGCCACCTACAGGTGGGCACTATATTGCTTGGAGGTTCAGGGTACTTGCTAACCAATTATAAGTGTACTTATCACCCACCTTATAAGCCCCTTAAGTGCCCTAATATGATTATAAGTACAGTTATACGTTCAGTTGTACCTGGTTAGTAAGTACCATGAACCTCCAAGTGGTAGCCTGCTAGCATTATGACAGTGTAGCTGTCTGGTTCCCCCCCACAAGGACTGCCAAAACGACAGCCGTTGAGATGCGTGTGAGGACTCGATCAATCTATGTTGTACACTGCAGGTTCGCCTTCAACAATATAGAGTGCTTAATGAAAGGGAGTTCTTCGTTTTCGCAGGAATGACAAGAAGTTCTTCGACAAGACAACGCCTGCGCGCCAGCCTGAACAGAAAACCGCGACCCCGAAGCCTGCCACGAAGGCCACGCCGAAAACCGGCGTCAAACCCAAGCGACCTCCTCGAAGGGCTTCCAACTGATCTTAAGGATCGTCTCACTCTGTGTGCTGGGATTCCTGGATTCCGGGCAGAAGCCTTTGCACAGGCTACAATGTTTCTGAGCTGGCTGTGTGGGGGATCCACTCTTCAACAAATATAGGAGTTTTTTTTTCATAACCTTTCGTGTTTGCCGTCATCCTTTCAGCCAGCTATTGCCATGGCACTCATGGCGGGTCATGGGCTGGATCCTGTGGTACATCGCTACACGGGTCATCTGGAACTTCTGGCCTCGATTTCAGATGTTCTTACATTATATTAAAAATCTCGTTCTTGTGGAAATCCTATGGCACCTGCGTACCATCCTGTTCGATAAGAAATCCGGCCAGCCAAGTTCCAAAGAAGGTGTGTGTGTGTGTATACACATACCAAGCAGGTGCAAGCAAAGGCTGTGGGGAGCATCGCTCGAAACACTATATGCATGAACTTTTTGCTTTGCTTTAATTTCTACATAGCATAGCTGCATTGGTCTCGATCTACCTTAAACCCACGTGACCCCAGCCAGGTGCCCCAGCTGGGAAGACCCTCCGCGGCGTGGCCGCGGACATTGGAGCCGGAGCTCCATCCTCAGCACTGTCTAGAGGGTTTAAGGTCTATAGGGTTTATAGGGTTTACAGGGTTTAGAGTTTAGAGTTTAGGGTTTAGCGTTCCCTAAACCCTATAAACCCTAAACGCCTATACCCTATAAACCCCTTAAACCCTACAAACCCTAAACCCAAACTAATAGCTGTCTGTTGCAAGGCATCGATCCTGTTTAGGGGGCTCAAAGCAACCAGATGCTCAGTGACACACGCCATGACCAGTAATGACCTTCAGTGAAGAAGATGCCGAGCAAGAGCTGCTCGAACTCTTTACTTGCCACCGGTCCGACACCATAGCTGCTAATGATGATTCAAAGCTTTCCAGCTGTTGCCAAATTAAGAGCTTAGTTCGCTTTGCTCCATGTATGCTCCCAAAACCCCGGAACCCAGGACAAGCATGAACCGTATCCCTGGCTGAAGACAAGTGGACTGGGAGGCGAAAAGCGGAAGCTGGCCACAGAAAACGAGAAGAAGAATTACCAACGCCCCACGCTACAGGTGACTCAGCGCCAGGCCACCGAGCGTATCCAGTACCAGCTTCCTGCGAGTCCGAATGCGGGAAGAGTGTTAGCTCACGCAGCATCTACCGTCGAGGCTTTGTTTCAGCAGCATGGACCTATGGTGTTCAAAATCGGTTGGACCCATGATGCAGTCTGGAGATGGTCCAACCGGCGATACGGTTACCAATACGATCCCCATGACTGCTGGGATTGTATGGTCGTGCTGTTCGTTGCAACGAACCCTTTCGGACCTGCAATGCTAGAAGCTGCTCTGATCGATAAATTCACAAGTGCCTGGTCTGCACCTGGCGTGCACCCTCCCCGTCTTCATAATAACCTATATAGTACCATGGACCATGGTCGTCAACTTGTAACCCGCCCATAAAACCCTCAACCCAACCCAGGCAGACCTGGCTGCAGAAATATTCTTCGAGGAGGTGATGCTGTGCAGGATGCCTCGAGTGGAAGCGGAAGCTTCATGACATATGTTGTGTACAGATCCTTTAAGCATCCTCCGAAAGAAAGTGGGACGTTCAAGCGCCCTCCTAAGTCCTAAGTGACAAGGCGTGTGTCCAATGTTAGCAATACTGCCGCGGGGAGGCAAAACAATCATCGATCAAGCTCTCTCTCTCTCTCTCTCTCTCTCTCTCTCTCGTGCGCTCGCTGCAATCTCTGGTAAGAGATATAGGCGTCAGTGCGTGCGCTCATGAGCATTCCAGAGCAAGCGTGGCGCTAGTGTTTTTGTGTTCGTGTGTGTGTGTGTGTGTGTGTGTGTGTGTGCGCCCAGGCCCCGTGCAAGAGCGTGGTCAAGATGGCCCGCAACATGGTGGAGGACATAGGCCTCGAGGCTGTTGGTAGGAGCCACGGCTTACCACGACTTGCAAAGTGCAGCTTGAGTAATTCCGAGCGAGACACGCACACCCTGCTCACCAAGCATTTCAAACTGAGTTTACCAATCCCGCTGACCACACTGACTGTTGGCCCCCAAAGCTTTAAAGTGTTACGCCTTCAAGACTGGGCGCTTTATCTTTTGCAGCACAATCTGTGGCACACGCTAGTTGGACTTCAAGCTCCCAACCATCAACGAGAACGAGCCATATTGCAGGAGTTCTGGTCGAAGTACCGGCAGGTTTGCCCGAACCACCCTATTTACAGATCTGGTTTGGATCTACAGGCAGTGGTCCCCATGCTGTACCATGGGGACGAGGGAAGAGGAAGAAGACGTCAAGGGTTCCTGGTGTCTAACTTTCACTCGTGCATAGGCAAAGGAATCCAAGCTGCTCGCAACAAAGACAAAGTTGACCGCAGGCCTGGAAAGTACCGGAAACTCCGGTGCAACTATGTAGGCCACTCGTTTTGCAGCCGCTTTGGTCATGCTGTGCTTCCGAAGTTGATGTATTCGGACCCTGCTGTGTTTGACGCGGTTCTGGATCATGCTGCCAGCGAGGCCTTGCACATGTCCACACAGGGCGTGGTCGACACAAAGACTGGGCGCAAGGGCTTCATGGCAGTTTTGAATGTTGTGGGCGACTGGAGTTTTTTGCACAAATGCGGACGTTTGAAACGGTCGTACAACAACATGACGAAGTCTGGTGTGGATCCTGGGTCGGCCGAAGCGGCCGAAGCGGCTGTGCAAAACAAGAAGAGGAAGAGAAAGGAACCGGCAGGCATCTGCCATTTGTGCAGAGCGGGGCAGATCAACGTACCGTTTGAGGAGATCCATAGCAAGTGCCCTGCTTGGCTGCCCACGATGCATCAGCAAACACCTTGGGATGTTCCGCCTGCTTTGTCCCGTTTGGACCATGAGACGGGCAAGGCTGCGAGCCTGTTCGCCTTCGACCTCTTTCACGCATGGCACTTAGGGGTTGGGAAAACCCACGTCGCCTCGTGCCTGGCTGCCCTGACAGATTGCGAAGAGGGTAATGTGGATGTTCGGTTCGAAGCCCTGGCTGCTGAGTGGAAGGCCTTTGGAAAAGCAGCTACGTATCAGCCCAAGTTAACCAAGGACTTCATTGGTTGGCACAGCCGTCGGGACTTCCCCAACGGTTCATGGCACAAGGGACAGGTAACCACCGATTTCATGGAATTCCTGGAAGAGAAGTTTGCGAAGATGGACTTGTCCAACGACCCCTTGTTGCAAAAGGCTGCCGAGGCCACATCGTACATGAATCAGTGCATGAGAACGATGTACGAAAACGATTCTGTGTTTCTGGATCCTGAAACTGCTCGAACGATCGGGGAGCTCGGCATGAGATTCCTGAGGAGGTACTCCCTGTTGGCAAAGATGTCGTACGACACCGACCGCAATTTTTGGAGCCTCATACCGAAGTGTCATTTGGTGCACCACATCTTCGTGCAGCTGCTGCAGCAATCTGAAAAGAACCTCGTCTCGCTGCACCCCCTTGTACAGGGGGTGCAGCAAGACGAGGATTACGTTGGCCGCCCCTCGCGCCTCTCTCGCAGAACTGCAGTTCAGAATACCCCCACCCGTGTGCTGCAGAGAATGCTTAAGGCTTCGTATGAGATGTATGTGCAGGCGGGCTATATCTTGCCGGCTGGCCGTAATTAGCCAAGGGTTTGGGATTCAAAGCGCTCTGAGCTGCCCGCTCGCAGAAAAGATGTTGAACTTCAGGAAGAGCGACACATGCCAGCGTGGAGCGGGCAAAGTTCACCAATCCCTTAACCCTGATCAAGGTGCCCTCAGACATCAATCCTAAAAGCCCACTGCTCCAACATCGTTGTCGTCGTACACGCGCAAGCCCCCAAATCACGGAACCCGGTTCTCAGTCCAAGAACCCGTTTAATTTCAAGAACCTTCTTTATTGTAGGTTTTCGTTGCCGTTGGTAGGGTTTAGGGTTTAGGGTTTCGGGTTTCGGGTTTCGGGTTTAGGGTTCAGCAGCTCCGGATCGAGCAGTTTTATGGTAAAGTTATATTTTCGGCTCTGATATAACACCCACCCACCCAGAGAATCCCAAAACATTGAGAAAACAAAACTACAAGTATTCTCTAATCATTTCAGCATCAACGCCTAAACGAACGGACACAACAAAAACACCTAATATCATTAACTTCATGTTCTTGCCATTGCATCTCTGCGTTAGCCTCCCCAGGACCTAAAACCCCAGGCCTTGAGGCCCTGAAACCCTAAACTCCAGGCCCGGAGGCACTGAAACCCCAAACTGCAGGCCGTGAGGCCCTGAAACCCTAATTTCCCAGCCTTGAGACCCTGAAACCCTAAACCCCAGGCGTTGAGGCCCTGAAACGCCAGGCCTTGAGGCCCTGAAACCAAAGCTAAACACCAGGCCTTGGGCCCTGAAACCCTTAACGCAAGGCATTGAGGCCCTGAAACCCTGAACCCCAGCCTTGAAGCCCCGAAACCCTAAACTCCGGGCCTTGAGGCCCTGAAACCCTAAACGCGGCCCTGAAACCCTAAACTCCAGGCCTTGAGGCCCTGAAACCCCAAGCCTTGCCTTGAACCACGAGTTTTTGGCCTTGAACCACCTATTTTTAGCCTTTAACCACGAGTTTGTGGCCTTGAACCACGAGTTTCTGGCCTTGAACCACGAGTTTCTGGCCTTGAACCACGAATTTGAACCGTGAGTTTTTTGCCTTGAGCCACGAACGATTTGGGCCAAACATTGGTGGTTCAAGGCCAAAAGTTCGTTGCTCAAGGCCAAAAACGACGACTTGCCTTAAACCACGAGTTTTTGGCCTTGAACCACGAATTTTTGTTTGGCCTTGAACCACGAAGTGTAAGGGATGATGAAGCCCTAAACCCTTCTAAACCCTTCTAAACCCTTCTAAACCCTCAACCCTAAACCCTTCTAAACCCTTCTAAACCCTTCTAAACCCTAGAACCCTAGAACCCTAGACCCTAGAGCCTAAACCCTAAACCAAGGAAGGATTCTCCAGGAGCAATTTAAGGAATTATTCCCCGCTAGCAAGCCCCGCCAACGGGCCCTGCCACGCCAAGAAACTCCATGCGTAATTCGGAACAACATTATTCCAATTTAGGCGAACGAAAGGGTGTTGGAGCCTGTGCGCGGTTTAGGGTTTAGGGTTTAGGGTTTGGGGTCTAGGGTTTCGGGTTTAGGGTTTCGGGTTTAGGGTTTAGGGGTTTAGGGTTTAGGGTTTCGGGTTTAGGGTAGGAGGAGGGAAGCCCGAAGCTTCCCAAACCGCCCCCATGCCCCTTGAGCTAGGCAAAAGCATCCCCCGAACGGGTTTAGGGTTTAGGGTTTAGGGTTTAGGGTTTAGGGTTTAGGGTTTAGGGTTAAGGGTTAGCGAGAGGTTTAGGGTTTAGGCTTTAGGGTTTAGGGTTTAGGGTTTAGGGTTTACGGTGTAGGGTGTAGGGTTTAGAGTTTAGGGTTTTGGGATTCGGGTGAGGGTTGATTAACCCAGGTTTTGTGGGTCTAGAACAGCGTTTAGGGTTTATGAGGGCTTATCAGGGCTTATAGGGTATATGGGGTCTATAAGGGTTTTGTAAGGGTTTCGCCCAGGGTTTGCTGGTTTAGAACAAGGGCTTAGGGCTTTTTACTACTTACGTTTCTTTCATATACATATATAGATATACCAGGCCCTCTCTTTACCTACAGTTTTAGGGGTTATACCTACGATTTAAGGGGTAGCAACTACTAAACTGACAAACTGCAGGTAAATACAATGCAGTATATACCCTAAACCCTAAACCTGGCAAACCCTAAACCCTTATACACCCTGAAGCCCTAAACCTTCAGACCCGAAGACCCTGAAACCCTACAACCCCTAAAACTGCAACCCTAAGATTTCAAAACCCTATGACCCTGAAACCCTAAAATCCTGAAACCCCAAATCCAAAAACCGCAAAACCCAAAGACCCTGAACCAAAAAAACCTACAGCCCCTAAAGCCAATAAAAACCCCGACAACCCTAAACCCTAAAACCCCTAAACGCTAAATCCCTAAACCTTAAAACCCTGAAACCCTAAAACCCTAAAACCATACACCCTACAAATCCTATAAACCCTCTAAGCCCTACAAACCCTATACACCCTATAAACCCCAAACCCGAAAACCCTAAACCCTATACACCCCAAACCTTGTAAGCCCTAAACCCGACAACCCTGAACCTTATCAGCCCTAAACCCTAAAACCCTGAAACCCTACACCCTGAACCCTAAAAACTCTTCGAAGCCTGAAACCCCACAAAAACCCTAAAAGAAACCTTACAAAAAACACACTTAAAAACCTCAAACACCTAAAACACCTAAAGACCCTAGAACACACCATAAATACCCGAAACTCTAAACACCTAAATATCCTGAAAACCCTGAAAACTCTTAAAAACCCAGAGCCCCAAAACCCTGAAATCCATCCTATACCCTAAACCCTGAAACCCTGAAACACTGAAACCCTGAAACCCTGAAACCCCAAACATCCCTAAACCCCAAACCCTAAACCCTAAACCCTAAACCCTAGACTACTCTAATTAAGCCCTAAACCCTAAAACCTGAAAACCTGAAACCCCCAAAAACCTCAAACCCTAAACCCTAAACCCTGAACCCTAAACCCCAAACCCTA